ATTGTAAATGGTTATTTTCTAGTTTTAGGTCCCATGACAGAGGAGATGGGTGTGGATAAATCTTTTAATGATCTGACCATGCTTATAACGTAGCACTATAAAGGGGAAAAATACATTCTGTGTAGAGATGGAAAATTTGATTCTAATTACTGCCTTCTTGGGCCAAAATTTACATCTTCTTTTTCTTCTGTCTTACTTTAACACCTCCTCAATTGAATTTTTCTTGCTGTTTTCCATTCCCGTAACTAATTATATCTCATCAACATCTTTTGGTCAGAACTAATCATTTTGGAAAATATAGAAAGGAAAGAGCATGATCCTCTTTCGAGTATTGGGCTATGGGAGGAAATTAGTTCCCTGTGTTATGCTAGCTTTCTGTTCTTCATCTTCTTCATAAGTTGCTTTCTTCCCCAAGATAATACTGTGTATTTTAGGAGAAGCTTTTGACCTCACCTACCTACTTATACTGTAAACCAAATTGAGTAATAACACCCCAGCTTTAAATTAAAATCCTCTTTTTGTAAGTCTCAACAAGCGGTTATGGTTATGAGTGTCTAGGAAAAGACAGCACCCAACATTGTTAGTGTAAAGATTAGTGAATGGATGAAACAAGGTGAATAATGTCTAGATAATCTGCAGGGCTGCTACAAGACACTGTTCTCATGTTCCTCTACCCATTCTGCGCTTAGAAGCATGGGATCAGAACATTCATCCTTCAGTGAGTTTCTTGGTTAAAACAGTTGAAAATTTCATAGCTCATTCTGGCTCAATTATTTTGGCATAATGAACCGAATTCTATCTCACTTTTCTAGTAAATGAAGGCGTAGCATCTTCTTGAAGGATTATTTAGACTTTCCCTCTAATCTTCCTACTTGGTAGATGATCATGTTACAAAGACTATATACAGTAGGTTCAGCAATTAATTAATTAGGAGAAATGTAGAAGTTCCTTAGAGGAACTTGAAAATAAAGAAGACTTCCTTAGGGAATTGACAACTTTAAAAGCATAGATCAGTTAATTTTTTAAAAGGCTTGCTTGAATAAAAATAGTGCTGTTTCTATCTCTCTTGTTTTTTTTGGGGGGGGGGAGAGGGACGGGGGGAGGATGGGAAGGGATGGGAAGGGAAAACAAAGGAGGAGGCTACAATGCTTGATAAGAAATGTACTCATTATCTTGCCCATGTAATTGTAATCCCTCTGTACAGTATTTTCACAATAAAAAAAAAAAAGAATCTGAATGGAGAAATAAAAGAAGAGATAGGGTAAAAAGAAAAGAAAATTGGTCTTAATCCTACATTTCTAAATTTCTTTTCTAATAATTAAAACATTTCTATATTGTGTGTATGTTTTCCTTCCTCCCTCCCTCCCTCCCTCCTTTCCTTCCTTCCTTCCTTCCTTCCTTCTTTTCTTTCCTTCCTTCTATATTCCTACTACTACAATATTCTTGTGTCTTTGTTTAGAAATCATTGTTCAGAAAAAGCAGAAAAGTTTGATTGTTGACACTTTGACTATTTTGGGAAGCAGATAAAGTAGACCCAATAGAGAGTAGCTAGGCTGAAACACTATTAAAAAAATGCAATTCAGACTGAGTCACTGCTCATTATTTTTCTGAGTGAGACCCTAATTCTAATGGATCCCAAAGAATGGGCTGAAGTGACTAAGCAAGAAGCACAGGCAACTGAGTTCTGTGGATGTTATCTCATTTGGAACACATTTCAAACTTTAGAACAGATTTTAAAATTGGAAGTCAGAACCTGCAGACTGTCAGCAGAAGAGGCTGATTCATCCTAAGAACTTATCTTCCTCCAAGTTTCTGGCAGTTTTCTAAGAATGAATCTATCTACAAGGTTTTGAGCTACTTCAAAGAGAGAAATTAAAACACAGCAGCAGTCACAACAACCACGTACATATCTATAAGAATAAAGGGAACATATACATGTAAATATCTTTGGGGCTTTTTACTAATACTTGTTTCAATGGGATCTTCTTTAAATCAACTGCCTGTTTCCATACCACTTCTGGATCTTTAAGGATCCTTGAAAAAGTGATTATTTTTCTTTGCAAATACTTCTTCAGGTGGGACTATATTACGTAGAACATTTTGAGTCATAACTATAAGATCATTTTCTTATTAGGTAAATTGTAATTTAGGAAGCAGAGCCCATGGCAAGGATAGAAATAGAAAAATCTTATATCATACCAATAAAGGCAAATTTGATAAATTATTAATTGGCCATTGCTTTTATTTAGAACCAGGAAAAAGATTAACCAAAAGCCAACACACCCAAAAAACTATGAAAATACTTACAAGTGCCTTAAATGAGGACCACTACAGAGAGGAGAGGAATAATAATGAGTTTGACCTGGCACAAATATCAATAGTACTTGGAGAATATTAACTGGTCTATGGAGAAAAAGCTTCTGTGTCTCTATTATATAAAAGAGTGACCCCATGCTGCAGCTGACCTACAGGGAGAAGTGTATGGAGTGACCCAAAGAAGTTCCTTCCAACTCAAAAGACAAAGTTTTAGTGGTTCCAAAGATGCAGAACTGAGACATTGGCATCAACGACTGCAAAGCAACAGAGCTAGGAAGGCGCCACACAAAAATTTCCAAAGAAGATACCTATTTGTCACAGTGGGGCATTCAATTTGCCTTAATTAGACATTCAGAACTTGTGCCTACTTATTGATACAATAACCACGTGCCATGTCCTGCAATGGTAGCTATGCTTTCTAGAAAAGTCAGCTGTTTTCAAGTGTGTCAAGCAGTATTTTGTAAGAATTTTTTCTTTCATACAAAAAAAAAATGCCAAAGAGAAAGTTTTTCCTTGTAAAGCTAATGCTGATGGAAGGGGTGGGTGGAAGAGGTATGGCACAGATTTTTTTTTTTTTTTTGATACTAGGCAACTTGTTAGAAATTGCTTTTGTTCCCGTATATTATCTTTGCCGAGTTAGCACTGAGAACTGTAATTGCAATAAATTGACATAAAAGCCAGCTAGTAAAAGGACTAGAAGTCCCTATGGAGACACCAGCTTGTCACTTTCTTCTAAATGGCAGTGAAAGATAATTGTGGACAAATACAGTAGAACTAAAGCGTTGTCATTTTCCTTCAGAGATGTGGGGCTGTCTCTTATTTTTATTGAAAAAAATTGGTTTCTTCCTCTGCTTCAAAACTATCAGAGCCATCAAAGTAGGTGGGAAGAGATCTGCTTTGTATTTTACCTCAATACCTTTTTAATCAGATCACACCAAAGAGGAGAAGTGAGGGAAGCCATACAGTCCTAAGGGCTGCATCTCACAGTGAAGTGCTGGATTCTTTTAAGTTTCTGAGCTGTGTGTTGACAACTCTGGCCTCTGGCATATAGAGTGCTCTCCTCTTTTGACATGGTGAAACCATCTGCTTGACCCCATCCCCATTCTTCACACAATTGGTTTTCCAGTTCTTCAAAATGGCAACATTTAAGGGCCAGTACACAAAGGGTGATGCTTAAGCTAAACTGAAAGAAAAAAGAAATTGTTCCCCTCTCTCCTAAAGTAGACTCCTAAGGGTTTTCCTTTTCAGGTAAAGCTATCAGCAAGGAAAGAAAAAAAAAAGAAGCCAGCACTGACCATCTTTCCCAGGGGTAGAATTGTTGATTCTTAGATGAGTTGGTATGTAGGTATAGCCCTAGCTTTCTTTCCCAGCATAAAGGGTTGGGGGGGGGGGTTGACCCCCCAGGATAATTAACCATTCGCAAAGCTGCACACTCCAGATCTGCACATATGCACACTCCCAGCCATTCCAGACCCACGGTAGGAAAATCCTCTTTTTGTCCACGGTGTCTGACTCCAGTAAGTGAAAGTGATGGACTAAAGACATATGCTCATACACCTCTACAGAGACTGTCATAACGACAACACCCTTACACCACACACACACACACACACACACACACACACACACACACACACACACACACACACACACACACACGAGAGCTAGGAGAGAGATGTGTGGCTGTTCCAGATGATCAAACATCTTGCTTTCCGAGTGTCCTCAACAGTAGTTAACTCAGGTGACCAGCCCCAGGCACTGACAGAAACCTGCATTTAACTCCCTATAAAATATGGATTTTATTGCAGCAGGGACAACACTTGGTGGTGCCACACTGACCTCACAAGCATCTCCCAGCTCGAGGTCTACGTAATCCTTGGCAGGAAAAAAAAATTCTAAGTACAGAAGAAGTCATCCTAGTCCGACCACTGCGGCAGTACAGAACATTACAACAACCTCTTTGATTAAATTCCCCAGGATCGCACTGGGAGATCCCCCCCCCCCCCTTCTGACACATAAAACCGGGCGCACGCGATCTGCACTCCCAATCCCCAGCCTCCACTCCCCCACATTCCCAGCTCCCCAGATTTGTGCCTGGACAGCCCAGCCATAGAGGACCAACCACTTTCTCTCGCTCTCTCTTCCCTGGACAGCGTGTGCTCCATTTTCGGAGTCCAGCGCTGGACTTTGCTCGCCAGCTAAGCCTGGGTGTCCTAGAAGGGCCGGCAGGCGTAGCCGGGCGCGGGCAAGCCAACACTTTTCCGTCGCTCTTTCCTCTTCCGCCAAACCATCTCTTCAGTTAAGTTTTTCTCCTTGGGAACCTTCCAGAGTTTTCCAGACTCCCCGAATCTCTGCCTTACTCTCAAAGCCACAGATAATGTTCACTCAGACCAAACAGACACCATGAGAAGACCCTTGTAATGTGGGAAGGCGAAAATACATCCAGCACCCCCACCCCTCCACCCCCCACCCCAAGACCCCTCCGGCCCGGCACGCACCGGCGCCCGTGCTCACGGCCCAGCCAACTTTGCAAATGCCAGTCCGAGCTGCTCCTGGCAGCTTGTACCACCCGGGGAGAGAAAGGCGGCGGATTCGGCTCCGGGGGGGGGCTCCCCCCCTCCCCCTGTTCCCTGTCCCTCTTCTCCCTGATCCCCACGAAGCCCCAAGGCCGCTTTGGGTCTTACCAGAAGCCGAGAGGAGCGGTGCCCAGGCTCCCCGGGAAGCAGCGCCCGTCCTGGGCAGGGGCAGCAGCGCTACCCGCGGAGCCCGGCCCCACGCGCGCCCGCCGCGACCCTGGCTGCAGGCTGAGCATCTCTTCCCAACTCTGCGCGCAGCCCCGCCGGAGGACAGCGCTCGCTCTCGCGCGCCTCTCTCTCTCTCTCTCTCTCTCTCTCTCTCTCTCTCTCTCTCTCTCTCTGATTGGCTTGCATCTATGCCACAGAATTAATTAAACAAAAAAGAAAAGCAAGGAAAGGGGTGGGGGGGGGGGAAGCAAAGCCAAAGCACGCACCGCCAGCAGCAGCAGCAGCAGCAGCAGCAGCCTCACCCACAGACCCCCGAACCCACCTCTCCTCGCCCTCCTGGGCCCGGGGAGCCGTCCTGGCTGCGCCGGGGGCCGCGCTCCGCCGCCGCCGCCGCCGCGCGATCGGGGGCCGGCTGCCTCCCCGCGTTCCCGGTGCTCGCCGCCTCCACCGACGCCGCAGCTCCCGGGCCGGGCGGGGAAGGCTCGCGGCTCCTCGGGGGGAGAGCTGGCTCTGGTGGGCACACACTGATTTGCAAGTGAATGAAGTGGGAGGGAGCAGAGAGAGGAGGACTTTGTGAGCGAGGGCCGGCGCCGGCCCCCGCCCGCCCCTCCCCGGGACAGAAGGATCCCGGCGTCTGAAGTCCCTGCGAGACCCCGCAGGAGCCCCACGCTCCACCCCCCCCTTCTTTCTCTCTTTTGGGGGTGGTAACGGTGCTGGAAGGGGGAGGGCTGTTAAGACCGAGAACTTGCGTGACTCTCTCCGATCCTTCTTCTTGTTGTTTATCCAAATGCACCTTGTGCTAGCAGCAGCCCTGGGCCGCTGGCTTTCTTTTGAATCGTCCCCCCAGCAATTAAGATGGCCAGAGCCGTGGCTGTAGCGGGGCGCGCGGTCTGTCCGTCCCCCGTGCGCACAGGAAGGCAGCCAGCTCTCCGGAGAGAAGCCGGCCGCGCTGCCCACCGCCCCGGCCCGCCCGCAGACCCGGTGCCTGCGCGGAGCTTCGCCCTCTCGCCTTCCAGGAACCCTGGCTTTTTTTTTTTTTTTAACGTAGCCCCAAGGATCTCGGGCGCTCTGCTCGCTCGCTCGCTGGCTCTCCTCGCTCTCTCTCAGTAAGTGAGCCAGCGAGGTTCAGTACCGAGCCGCACAGTTCCCCAGCAGGCACAAACGCTCACAGTCTCAGTCCTCCCGGCCTCGCCGCCGGTGACTTCATGGCTGATGCCATCTTTTTTTCTCAATGAACGGATAGCAGGCCAGAAAAGACGCGCGGAGGAAGGGGTTACAGGATGAGAGTTAGGGTGCTAGGATCTTTCTGGAAAGTTCATCGAGTTGGCTATAATCTCCCGCTGGGACTCTTTTGATACGTAAAAACTATGCCTGGCTCGATTAACAGATTGCGGAGAAGTGACTTCTGTCCTCCGAGGGAATTCGAAGCTGAGACGGCCTTGGTCTTACCTAGGTCAAAGTATGATTACAAGGGAGTGATGATTTTCCACACTGGAGATAGAGACATGATGGAGGAGGGAGGGCACTGTTGGACTTAGGGAAATTAAATCGCATTATCACACGGTTTGCGCTGGGGGAGAGGGGGCGATCAGAAGCATTCCTAGCCAGATGTTTATGAATGCCAGGGGTTCTCAGGGATATCTCCACTGCATTGGTGTTTTAAGAAGTTCCAGGCCACTTGGTCTCTGAGTCATTAAACTAGAGGTTGGTCTTGTTCCCAGGAGAGCTCTTAGGAGAGAAAAACCTTTTGTATCTTCAATAGAAGTTTAGGCATTTAAATAAAGCCGAAATCAAAGTATCTCCTCTAGGCAGCCAATGCTTCAAAGAATTGTGTGTGGAATGGTGTTTTTTTTAATTTTTTTTTTTTTTTTTTTTTTTTTTAGCACAGATGTTGTGCACATGGATGGTAGAAAGACTTTGAGTTTCTTTGTTGAAAAGATCTCCCTCTAATACACAATCGCCATTAATTTACAGGGAGAGGCTGAAAATACTCTCTTCAGGCAGCTATTTAAACTCTTGAGATAAGGAAGCTGTTTCAGATTCGTAGACTATATTCCTCGAATTACAGCTTTCTGATGTACTTTCTGATGTATTTAATGTGTAAGACTCACTTCTTATGCCTGTATAGGTCTTTATGCCTTACAGAGTATTCTTATGGACTACATTTTGTTTAATTCTTCTCTCAACAAGTGGTGTGAACCTCCCTTCCCCCCTTTTAGAACAGTAAAAATAAATTGAAATAAAAATAACATATCTAAGGCAATAAAACTGGGAAGAACAGGAGGTAAAATATTACCAATATAACTGGGCAAGCGTATGTGCAGACCACAAGCCACAAGTTACAGGTGTCCACAGAATCCATGTGACAGTAAATTAACATATACATAAATGAACCACACTGTTAACCAACACTGCTTCAGACATATGCATAAATCAGCTAATTGTTGGGTATGAAAAAGATGATTATGAAGTTGATTTTCTATCCATTGAACTAGTTAATGTCTCACAGAGGAAATCGCTTGTTTGTACTATAGTATCCTTCAGACTCCATTAAGCTACACACCAAAAGTGGTCAACACAACTGCTTTTTATTAAAAGTAGACAAGCAACCAGCTTGCTTCTGAGTGGTTTTAGGTGCAGCATTCAGTTACATAAAGAAGATAGTAATCCTAGGATATCTATGAAAGGATTTCTATGTGATTTTTGAGGCTTTCTAGTAATATCTACACATGAGAATTATTAATGTGGAATTATAGGATTAATATGCTATCCAGAATTATTTTATCCTAATTTCAGCAGCAATGGACTGTTACTAAGGCTTAATGATCACATGATGCCCCCTCTTGTTTCAGCTTGTTTCTCACACTGAAGCATACACACAAGTAACAGAAGCCAGAGATAGTTAAGAAAACAGGGCTGTCATGATCATTCTACAGTGTTTTCTCATAAACCTTACAGTAGAAATTCTGCAAGACTCCTCGAAATATCTAGAAGCTAGCACTGAGAAGCACCAGCATTCTGGGTTAAGACTGTTTTCTCTGTGTTACGCTTCTGCTTTGGCCTGTCTCTTTCCACACCAGCCAGCCTCCTGTATCTTTTGGTCTCAGGGTGGAACAGCTCTACAGCTAATTGCAGATTCCAGAGCTTTACTTGTCGCAAAGATGGTGACTTTCTCTTTTTGCTACCTTTCCAATTTCTCAGAGCATCACTCTGATTGGTCAGGTGCTTACCACGACAAGTGTGTGTGTGTGTGTGTGTGTGTGTGTGTGTGTGTGTGTGTGTGTGTGTGTGTGTGTTGGAAGCTGGACTGGGAAAGGAAGCAGGCTGCACATTTGCTTGGTGTACATGGGGTTCCAAGATCTAAAACAAGAGGGAACAGTTAGGGAAGGTCCTTGGGTACAGGGGATATAATCTATACAGGGTCTCATTGTCTATGTTTTCTTATTTGCTTTACTAGTGTGGTATGGCTGAAGCAGTTCATCTGTTCCAGGCCACTTTGTTATTTTATATGTCTCAGTCAAAATTACTTCTCCCCTTTTATAGCTTACAAAGTTTCATTTACAAAAGAATCTCCTGAGGGAAACTGGAGAAAGTAAAGGAAGAGGTGACATTGTCCAAAAAAGAAATGTATTCATTACCTGACTTATGAAATGGTAACATCTCTATATAATGCTTTAACAATAGCAATAAGAATATATTAAAAAGAATCTTCTTCATACTATTATTAGGGATATTAATTTTGATGAATGATTTTTTTTCTAATTCCTACTAACTCCCTCTTATAGATGATCAAGAGATATCTTACCCTTAAAATGAGAATGTATATAAATAATTGCAAATTAAAAAATGGGAAGGGGCTGGGAAGGTAGCTCAGTGGTAGAGTGTTTGCCTTGCATGCCAGAGGCCTTGGGTTCGATTCCTCAGTACCACATAAGCAAAAAGAAAAAAGCCAGAAGTGGCGCTATGGCTCAAGTGGTAGAGCGCTAGCCTTGAGCTGAAGAGCTGAGGGACAGCACCCAGGCCCAGAGTTCAGGCCCCATGATCGGACCCCCCCCCCCCCCAAAAAAAAAAAGGGAATGTATATAAATAAATAATTCCAAATTCTGTGGGAGTTCTTTTGGTATAATAACACACATCTGTAAGTGATGATTATCTGATAAAAAAACAATCATTTGCTTGATCCTTAACAGTTATTCTTGGTTAGAAGAAAAACTCACATTTTATTTATTTATTTTTGTCAGTCCTGGGCTTGAACTCAGGGCCTGAGCTCTCTCTGAGTTTCTTTTGCTCCAGGCTAGCACTCTACCACTTGAGCCAAAGTGCCTCTTCTGGCCTTTTCTGTTTATGTGGCACTAAGGAATCGAATGAAGGGTTTCATGCATGCTAAGCAAGCACTCTACCACTGACCCACATTCCCAGCCCTGAAAAACTCACATTTAAAACCACATGCTTAAGAATCTTGACATAGGTGTTTTTTTTTTAGTTTTTCAAATTTTATTTTGTTATAAAGATGTTGTACAGAGGGGTTCCACTTCCACAAGTAAGGCAATGAGTACATTTCTTGTCAAGCATTGTTACCCCCTCCTTGGTTGTTCTCCTACTATCCCTTCCCTCCCCTACCTCTCTCAGCCCCCACCCCAGCCCCTGCCCGAAGTTGTAAAGTTCATTTCCAATATACTGTCTTGTGGGTATGGTTGCAATGGGGTGTTTATGACTCAAGCAATCTAACTCTTTGGCCTAAAACTCACTCCAAACGTGTTGTGCCTAGGAAAAGAGAACACACATCACCTTGCTTCTCACTCTTCATATGGAGTGCACATGTGGACAGAGTTCACTGAGATAGAGATGTTCCCCCACCCCCACCCTAGATATAGGCACACACCCATGCACACGTGCCAGTGCAAGAGGAAAAAAATGTTTAAGGGGAAAAGAGCTTTCGAGGCTCCGAGTATTATTGGACTGAAACAAAGGAGACAGGAACCCTCCATGGATTTCTCCTTTTGTAAGAGCCATAGATGTCTCAATACAAGCTAAA